CATAAAGGAGAGAAAGGAATTTTTTAGTATGCAAACTATGGGCAGTGCAGATTCGGATGAAGAGAATATTTTTCCTCTGTTTGAGACTTTTTAGTGACACTGTCTGGATGAAGTAACTCAAGAAGGGTGTGGATTCTGATAGTGATGATATTGTATAATCAGTACTATTCTTTTTTTACAATTTATCTGTGAGCAAGAAAGATAAGATACATGATCATTAGGACCCCAGCTGGTTATCCAGGCTAACAGCTAAACATGGCAAAACGTGTGCATGATTAAGATTATGTGAACAATGAAAGCACTAGACAAGAATAGCTGTCATTATAAAACAAACAAAATTCTTGGAACAACAACAAATCACTAGCAAAACCCCAGTAGCTTTCCTTCAGCTAAAATAATAAGTGGTTTAATTCTGCTGTGGTCCAGCATTGACAATAATTTAAGACTAGTATTAGACAGGCCAATATATCTGTGCGATATCCAAAGAGCTACAAAACTTCAGTTCATATCTAACTTTGGAGACTGTTTAATTTTAATATAATAGAAGCCTTGCAAGACCTAAAAGGCCTTCCTGACTGGCTTGTCCATGCTTGCAAGCTTCTGTCTCATATAGACAATTCTATAGAGATGGTGGAAAAAGCTTTCTGCTATAGCAGTTTAGATCCAAATAGCTATTTTAGAGGAAGTTTTGAATGTATAGCTTTTGACCCTAAAACAAAAAAAAGCATCATTGAGCTTATGCCATTAAAACATGATTCAATCTACATCTTAATCCTGAAGTTGATGAATCAGTTCTGTACTTTGATGAGAACATCATGTCATTCTTTTATGAAATCATGTTTAATTTTTTTCAAGTAAACTATATCACTAAATGCTACTTTGCCCTTTTGGCAAATGCTATTAGAGTTCAGAGGCACGTGAATTAGATTTGCTTGACTTTGTGACAGATGTCCACCTTTGCCATTTTGCTAGTATTTTGGGTGCTAATGGTTGTTCATTAATCTCAGTATATGTTATATTCCATGTAATAGTTCAAAAATGTGTAGGGACTAAGGAAGATAACTATTCTTTCTTTTACATCAAAGCTGAGGAATAATCTATCAGTTTTAAAAGATTTCAGTGTCACGGTTTGAGAAAAATATCACCAGCCCACAGTATTCAACTGGAGTTATTTCCAAGTTCTCGATAGCTATACAGCTAGAGTAAGCAATTCTATTAAATTATAAATATTTAAATGTTAGTCCTGCATGTTTAAAACACAAAGGATAGTTCAATTACCAGTTTCCTATTTGAAAGTGATATAATCATTTCAATAAGGGACCTCTTATATTCTTCAAAGTTGGTAGCACTTTATATAAATAATCATCAATACATTCATCGTAGCATTGTGCTTTACCTTGATATCAGATGTGTCACGTTGACAATTGCGCCATGCCCTTGAAACTGATGAGAAAGCTCTATCTGCATGATCAAACTTCCCACCTTGTAAGTTTAGGAAAAATGTTGTAAAAGGCTCCTAAAAAACATGATTAAGAAAGGAAGATGAAATATCTTGTGAAACAGCAGCAGTTTTCTTTTTGTATATTTCTAATACAGGTAGTCCTCAACTTACAACCATTTGTTTAGTGACCGTTCAAAGTTACAATGGTACTGAAAAAAGTGACTTATGACCATTTTTCACACTTATGACCATTGTGGCATCTCCATGGTCTTGTGATCAAAATTTAGATCCTTGTCAACTGGTTCATATTTATGACAGTTCCAGCGCCCCAGGGTCATGTGATCACCTTTTGAGCCGTAGTGGTGCAGTGGTTAGAATGCAGTACTGCAGGCTACTTCTGCTGCCAGCAGTTTGGCAGTTCGATTCTCACCAACTCAAGGTTGACTCAGTCTTCCATCCTTCCGAAGTTGATAAAATGAGGACCCAGATTGTTGGGGCCAATATGCTGACTCTGTAAATCGCTTAGAAATGGCTGTAAAGCACTGTGAAGTGGTATATAAATCCAAGTGCTATTGCTATTTTGCAACCTTCTGACACGCAAAGTCAATGGGGAAGCCAGATTCACTTAACAACCATGTTGCTAACTGAACAACTGCAGTGATTCACTTTACAACTGTGACAGGAAAGGTCATAAAATGGGGCAAAACTCAATTAACAACATAAATTTTGGGCTCAATTGTGATCACAATTTGAGAACTACCTGTACTTCACCTTGCCTGAACAGAATGATATGTTTTGTTTGTGGAAAGAAGTAAAAATAGTAATCTGAGTTATTCATTTCAAAAATATGTAAAGAGAATCTTACATTACAGTGTTGGAGGGTTGCTGGAAAATCTGGGTTGCAGATTTTATGTATTTTTTTTATTATTCCATTAGTGCATCCACTACAGTTATAATTCAACCTAACATTAACATACACTTAACTGTATATAGAACAGGAATTAAAGGACATCTAGAGATGTAACCAAGAGATTTCAATAGCTTTGACATAATACAAGCAATCTTTGAGTAAGAGATATTAGCAGATTTGTTATTCAACTAAATCTTCCTAATGAATATTATGCATGCACGCATATCCTTCCTGCATATGCAGTTCACAATTAAGAGAGAAAAATGTTAACAACTGAAAAAAATCTTCTCTTCGTCAAGAGATACCTAAGCACATATTAGACTATAATTGCCTGAAATTAGCTAAGTACCATAAATTACTGCTAGGATTTATGTCTGCTTGTATGAATCTAATAAGGCTTAATTAATGATGTCTTGCTAATGCTTTACTAAAGAAATTAGTTTCTATCAGGTAAATCATAATCCCAGTTTATTTTACAGAAACCTGGTTCATTTCATCAATATATCAAATCTGTCCAATTGCATGTTATCCACAAGTATATATTATTTGAAAATTTCTATTATATCTACAGAAGAAGATTACATTCCAGGTTAAATAATGGCCATACAACCAAATTGCAGTTTTAAACAGGAAAAAAAAACCCAAAGGCTATTCTACTTTCCTTGTACATACATTTTTTATGAAGTATAATCACTTTATTTCTCATGATCTAAAACAAACTTATTCAGTTGCATGATTCCACATAAAATATTGAACTCCCCTTATTTAACCATTAGGGACCTTCTTTACTCATATACACAAAAACATTCTAAAACGCACTTACAATTCTTAACAACCAAGTGAGTGCAAAACTGGCTGTTGAATAATGAGTGCCATAATGAAACTTTGGAACTTGATCATCTTCCCATGTTTCGTAGCGTTCGGCAAAGAATGCAGCTCGTTTGGGATTAAGAGCACCAATAGGCTAGGAAGAAGAAAAAGAACACAGTTTAATGTATCATTTCATCAGCAGTTGTGGTAAAGCAATAAACACATCACTGGATTATTATTACAATTTAATATAATGAGGTGTAAAACATAGAACTATGTAGGTGCAAAATATGTGAAATATCAAACAGCAAGATAACAATTTCAGGAATATAAAATTGCATTTATTTAATTGGATTATTTATTCTAATAATTCTTTATTAACTACTACAAATTTTACAAAAGGAAACATACAAGGAGTATTTGGTCCTATGTCTTTTAAATATATTGGATTATTTCCTCTGACATAATTCCACTTCAATATGTTCACAATAGTTTGATAGAAAAGTTTTACAACATGAGCATACCAATTCATATGGTTCCAAAGGCCATATATTATAACCTATTGGTATAGGATTTTCTTACTAGGAAATGTCTCCAACAGAAGTATAGAAGTATATTTGACCAGAGCTTCAGTGGAAGAAGGAATGAATAAAACATATGTAAAACATTTTATCCAGTTTCCAGTTATGGAATATTAATATAGAAAATAAGATCTTAATACTATTGATAACATTAAATTGAACAAAATAAAAAACCCAGATTTTCTTTCCCATTGATAGACTTATTTCTGATAATCATTTTTGCTCAAAGATGTTTTGATATGCTTAAAAGTTTTTCTGTCACTTCTTATAAACAATATTTAACGTGAACCTTACTAAATGATAGAGCAATGAGACCTAATAGCTGCACTTTTCTTTTAAAATTAAGAACTGAAAACCCTAAACAACCAAAAATGGCACATGACAGAATTTGTTATAAAAACAAATCCATCTTGTGAGAAAGGCTGAATGAATAAGTGGCATTCGTGGCTTACAATATGCATCCAGTTAACATAGAAATATGCTATTAATATGAATATTCCTTAATACAAATACTTTTTCTTCCCATAAATGCCAGTTATTTAGCATGAATACAGTAAACTATTTACTAAGTGCTGGTAGTAATACAGTTCATGCAGTCATGACAAATCTGCCAAAAGGTGGAGCAAATATTTGAAAACCTGTTCATAGAAATCTGCTTTATATTCAAGAATCTCAGCATTTTCACTTGGAAAGATAAAGCAGACAGTAGATTTGCTAAACATGCCCATTTTCATAAAATATCAAAGCTGTGCCATGATTCTTTAGGAAATATGGTGGTATAAAATAGAAATTAACATTAAATTAATAATATTTTAGTGGGTCTCAATACTTACTTCTTAATCTTAAATGTGTATTTTGACTTTCTAATATGAATAATACTTAGCATATACTATAATTGTAAGACTGAAACTTCATCAGGATAATAAGGTGTAATTATATAAACCATTCACTAGTTTTAATGCTATCATGACACATCAATATTGTTTACTTAATTGTATAAATCACTTTATTTGCCACTCCATAATTTTTATATTTTGATACAAGAAAAATCAGCCAAACTACATAAAACAATCAAATTACATAAAACCAAATCTTTATTATAGCCATAAGGTCAGCCATCAGAGGGGTGTGTGTGTGTGTGTGTGTGTGAATTAAAAAAACAAAAAATACATTTATATACTTTTTCAGTCCCTAGGAAAGTTAGAGGTGCAGATGGTGGTAAGAATCAGGTAACCCAGAAGGATATATTCAAACAATAGTCAGACCTGAGAAATGATAACTAGAAGTCAAGCTCTCTGCCAAGGAATTTCAGCAGTATAGGATAGATAAACTCTTTTGGAGATTCCCTTTAGAAAGGACAATGAAAAGCTACATGGTTCAAAGGCACTACTGAGATGTTTCCACAAGGACATTAATGTTATTGTGGGGGGATAGTTTTGTAGTGCCCCATCAGGACCACAGAAGGCAATGTATTCTGCCTCGCCAAACTGAAGGTCTGGCAAAATTTTGGGACTATGATAGAGACCAGGTATCAGGGTGATGATACTCATTTGAAAAGACCGGATAAAAGACCAGATTTGAAATTGTATTTTGATGCATGCTGTTTGGTTTGTTTAAAAGAGTGGGTGAACCTTCAGAATAAGAGGCTGCTCAATTTGGAAGCCCATGAATTAAAGTTTGGATGGCATGGGTATTTATGGTACCATAAAGTTAAAGTAAATGTTGATTTTAATAATCACTTTATTAGACGTGCCATATTAAGAGTTTGGAAAAAATATAAAATAAGTTTTTTTATGAAATTGCCCCTATGGGTGTCCCCCCAAGAAGCTTTTTTTTAGAAAAGAAATGGTGGTGAAACTGGACTGGTGGACATATGGTAAAATAGTATCTTTCAATTCTGGAGACCCCATCCTCAAGTCTAGGGAATTAGAATTAGAAGGTCACGCTTGTCACTGGTTTACATATCAACAAATGAAGGAAAGATTTAAATTAGACAAAAAAGGCCATGGTTTTGAGTTCACTAAAAATGAATTGGAAATCCTACTATGTGGTAGTAATGATTTGAGATTTGAGATTTGAGATTTTATTAAATTTATACCCCGCCCTTCTCCCGGAGGACTCAGGGCGGCTTACAGCCAGTTTAAAACAGTGATACAATACAAAATTTAAAAAGATTAAAAATAACTATTTAAATTTGGCCGCTTCTACTAAAAATTTAATTTAAAACCCCTTTAAAATACCCCTAGGCCAGTCCTGCNCATATAATTGCCAAGGTCTGTAAAAGTTATTAAAGTTGAACTTGGAAAATGAACATGTAAAACAGTATATGATCCAGTGGGCAAGGAATTTTGGGTATAATGTGATGTTTGAACAATGGAAGAATATGTGGATAAAAAGTTTAAAATTCACATTAAATTATAACCTAAAAGAAAATTTCTACAAAATGATGTATTGCTGGTATTTAACACCAGATAAGTTATCTAGAATGTATAAAGGTATTTCAAATGAATGTTGGAAATGTAAATGCAAAGAGGGGAATTTTTATCATTTATGGTGGACGTGTGATAAGGCAAAGTAGGTACAATTCATATATTAATGGAGAAAATACTTAAAGTGAACATAAAGAACATAAAGATTAAACCAGAAACTTTCCTTCTGGGCCTAATGGAAAGAGAACTGGGAAAAAAATTGGAACTCTGATTTTATATATGGTGACGGCAGCAAGACTGCTCTATGCACAAAAATGGAAGGATGCCTCAATTCCTACTATGGACGAATAGTTACAAAAGCTGATAGACTTAGCAGAGATGGCCAAATTGACTGTGCTGATAAAAGAAAAGAATATAAGTACTTTTGTTTCTACTTGGAAACCACTTCTGGACTTTGTGCTTGAGGTAGAAAAAAATGGTATCATGATTTTGGGTTTTACCGATTAGACTGATTTGCCGATACAGAAATGACTAGTGCATACTACTACAGAAATGTAAAAAGTTGAGATTTGATTTTAATGTCTGATTTTACTGCAACAGAGAGAACCGGAAGTCAATGCCTTTTATTTCTTCCCCACTCTTTCTTCACACCTTTTTGTTTTCCCTTTTTCTACTGTTGTCCCCTACTATTTGCTTTTGTATTTTCACATTTTATGTTATAAATGAATAAAACTTAATAAAAAGAAAAAAGAAAATACCAGATAAATATCTGCAAAACTGGGGACTAGACTTCAATGGATTTGAAATCAGTATCCCAAATATGCTTTTTAAAATCTGATTATTTTCAAAACCTAATGAAAAATAGTTGTTCAAGAAGTATCCTAAGGAGTGAGACTTCCAATAACTTCTCTTAAACAGGCTGACATAATGTGGAAAGTACTGGAAAAAAGGATAACTTTAGCCATAGGTTAGAGTGATTTCTAACCCCATGATAAGTGATAAATAACTATATACATACAAAAAAATCTCATAAAAGCTAATATATGACTAACTAAATTTATCCATACAAAACAACTAAAAATCAAATACTCATTAAAGCTGATTTTTGTATCATCTGACAATTTTTGCTATGCAAAACTTGGCAACATTGTATGTTGTGGTAGGATTAGTGTCTGAAAGTAGCAGGGAACTATAAAATTGTCATATGCACCTTAGCTATTTATATAGTATTGGTGAGAGGAGGCTAGTATGAGTGTTTTTGTAATAAAGGCACTGGAGGAGCTAATGCCTCTTGAACTTTTGAAGGTATTTCCACATAATCCTATGATAATGGGTTGTATATGATATCATTTGCAGATTTTGACATAGCATATGTGATAATTTCAGTGGTCTAATACTTAGAACATAGCAATTAAAAATGAACTACAAATTGGTAGAATACAATTAACTGTTATTTGATCATGCAACTTTATTTTGTTAAATTTATTTCTTCCCTCATATACTATTACATCTAAACAGGCCTTTTAAAACATATCCTGGTAGGAAATTTGATATTTTTAATTTTTTTAATGAATATTCTTTTTACCAAGGAGTTGAAAGAGAAGAAAAAAATACCTTACTCAGATTTTAATTATTTTATTTATTGTCAATGAACTATTATAAAAACTACTTAATTTTTGCTCTGGCTTTTTGTTTGTAAAAAAGATATTAGAGTGGATGAGTTTGCTTTTGCTTTTTTGGTGCAGCATCTACATAACACTAAAGCTTTTCAAATGGATGCTTTTAACTGCTCTTGTTTTTATTATCTCCAAATGACCACTATAGATCAATAGTTATAAAATTACATCTGCTGAATATAAAGCTAAAACCAGTTAGAATTGATTTAACTCTCTTTTGAAAAAAGAATAAAAGTATCATATGGTGAGCAAGAATCTACCATATTGATTTTTAATCTCTTTTTTTTAACACCAGATTTCAAGAAGCTGGCAGTAGGACAACTATCAAACCATTCCACATTTATTTGCAGACAAATTAGAAAAAAAATCACCAAATGGGGGAAGGGCTTAGAAATAAAGGACTATAAGACTGTGCAGTGACAATGATACACTATCAGCTTACTCAGAGAAGTTACAGTGGGAATACAC